GAGTGGCGACTACATGGGAGGCCAGCAACATAGCCATTACGCTAACTGCTGGTCCCTTCTTTTTTTTTTTTTGGAGAGGTTTTCGGTATAGGGTTCATGCGCTCACCAGACAGACAGAGAGAGACATAGAGACAGAAAGTGAGAAATCACCCCCCCAGAGGGGATGGTCACACCGCAATCCCTTCTCCTCCATTCTCCTCTCGGGATCTTGGGCATGCACGCACACGCACCCGGCGTGAGATTTAAGCCACTGGGTCCGGGACGCGAACTGCGGTCGACTATGTGGGAGTCCAGCGACATAGCCATTACGCTAACTGCTGGCTCTCCTTTAAAGATATTTTTACCTTAGGGTGCGTGTGCTCCCCAGAGAGAGGAAAAGTGAGAATTCACCCTCACTGGGGAGAGGAGGGTGGTCATGCTGCAATCCCTTCTCCTCCATTCTCCTCCCAGGACCTTGGGCATGCATGCACATGTCTGGCATGATTTTCAAGCCACCAGGTCTGGAACTTGAACCATGGTCAGTCCTGTGGGAGTCCAGCGATGTAATTGCTATGTCATAGGCAAGTCCTACAATAGCTTCTTGGCTTCTATCATGGGTTAAAAAAAATTGAAGGGTTGGCAGGTGGCAAGGTGATTAGGGGTGCTGGACTCACACATGGCCAATTGTGGTTCAAGTCCCAGACCTGGCAGTTTGCTTTTTTACTTTCCTTCTTTCTCTTCCTCTGTCCCATTCTGGCCAAATTAAAATAAATAAATAATGGGACCAGCAGTTGGCGTAATGGCTATGTCACTGGACTCCCATAAAGTCGACTGCGGTTTGAGTCCCAGACCTGGTGGCTCAAATTCATGGCGCGCGTGTGTGTGTGTGTGTGTGTGTGTGTGTGCCCATAATCCTGAGAGAATGAAGGAGAAGGGATTGTGGCGTGACCATCACCCCTGGGGGGTGATTTCTCGCTTTCTGTGTCTCTGTCTCTCTCTGTCTGTCTGGCGAGTGCATGCGCCCTACAGTGAAAATCTCTCCAAAAAAAAAAAAAAACATTGCTGGCAATGCTTGGCCTAAATTCCAGAACATAAACTAATTGCTGAGCTCTTAACCTGGGATCAATAGAACTGCTTAAAGGAGTCAGTGAGTCATCCCCCCCCTCCATAATATGTGAGGTCACCTATGAGCATTTTTTTTTTTTTTTTTGGGAGGAGACTATTACTTTCACCGGATTTTCAACTCTACAATAGGTAAACAATTTCTGATGCAGAATTTTCACATCTTCTTCATTCTTGATCTTACTGATAACCTAGTGAGGTAGATACCATGTGGTTTATTCTAATTTTATTGATAAAACTGAATGACAGGAAGGTTAACTTACTTGCAGTTGATACCAGAATCCAGATCTTTCAAAACTTGCTAATATTATTTTATTTTTTGGAGAGGTTTTCGCTATAGGGCATGTGCGCTCTCCAGACAGACAGAGAGAGACAGAGAGACAGAAAGCGAGAAATCACCCCCCATGGGGGATGGTCATGCCGCAATCCCTTCTCCTCCATTTTCCTATTGGGATCTTGGGCGCGCACGCACACGCCACTGGCGTGAGTTTAAGCCACCAGGTCCGGGACGCAAACCGTGGTCGGCTACATGGGGGAACCAGCGACATAGCCATATGCTAACTGCTGGTCCCGCTAATACAATTTTATAAAACACCAGTCAAAGAAAACAACAACAACAACAAAAAACAACAGAAAACATCAGTTAAGTTATCTTAATCACTAAGTCATACATTTTGAAAGCTCGACAGAAATCATGTAACTTAACTTCTTTCCTACAGATAGGGAAGTTAAGAAGAACTAGTAGTGATTAACCAGCATCACAATCAAGGTCTCCTGAAGGCACAGGAACCTTGGTGAAATCAACACCAACTCCGAGGGCAGCAGCCTGGGCTCCAGCCCCGCTCTGCCACTTACAGCTGTGTCCAAAGGCGAGTTTTTAAACTCTCAAAGTCTCCCTTCTTTATCTGCAAGAAAACCTTTTTAAGGCACTTCTGAGAATTAAATTCTGAAAAGATGTAGGTAAATCTTCTTAGGCTCATGTCACACAAACACGTACTTAATGAATGAACCTCCGAGGTCTTCCTAGGAGCCTCCACGGAACCTCCCTGCTCCTCCCAGCTCCCTAGTCAGCCGGGGGAGGAAGTGGGGTGCACCCCCTGGCTCATCCCATAGGCAGCGGTCCTGGGTTCCGGCCCAGCTCCTAGCAAATCAATCTGTGGGCTTGGAGGTCTCTGTCGACCCCACGGTAGAAAGGCCCACACACTGTCTCTCTCCCCCCCGCTCCCATTTCACAGGTGGTGAAACTGAGGCCCGAATAGGGACAATAACTTGCCGGAGGTCACCCTGGTGGTTTGGGACAAGGCGCTCACTGGCGGTGACCAGTGGGGCAGCTCCGCCGTCCTCTAGTTTCGGACTCTCCATCCCGGCCATGCCCATCAAGCAGGCTCCTGCGGCAGCAATGGGCACCCAGGGCGAGGGGCAGAGAAAGGTGTAAAAACTTCCTCAAACTCCTAAGTCTGAAGATAGAGAAATGCAAAGTGTCTCCACCGCTGCTCCCCGGACACCCCTCGGCCACAGCCGCCATTTCCGCGGCTCCACCAATCAAATCGTTTGCCGAGAAAGACGCACCGCCCCCGCGCCTGCGCTGGCCAATCGCGCGTGTCCTGAGTGCGCGGACGCCTCCGCTTTTGCTCCTTTTTCTGACCCCCCCTTTCAGACATGCGCACTCGGAGGTCTGAGGACCCGCGCGCAGCTCACTGCGCATGTGGGGTAGCGCGGGTAGCCAGAGTGGCTAGCGGAGTGGAGCCCGTGGCTGAGGCGGGGAGGAGGGGCCCGAGGCCTGCTGAAAGCCGGGATGAGGGCCGTGTTGACGTGGAGAGATAAAGTCGAGCACTGGTGAGGAGCGGGCAGGCCGGGAGAAGCGGGAGGCCGAGCCCTGGCCGGGATGACGGGAGTCACTGCGTGACCCTTCTTGGTTGCCAGGGGTAACGGGCCTGGGCTAAGGCTGCAGGCGTTGAACCCCGGGCCTGGCGGCTGCGAGGTCACCCTCCCACCGCTGGCGGATGGAGAGACCCTGGGGTGGAGAGGGCAAAGGGCAGGGCCACGCTCTTGTCGCGCCGGTCCGTCCCGCGCTGGTCCGACGCTCCCAGCAGTGCTCCCCGAACGTCCCCGCTTTTGCTCCCTGCACTGGCGTTACCGGACTCTTGCTTTACGTGTGTCTCTGGATATGTCTCTCCGATGTTCGCGTCCATACGATTCCAATTTAACAACGAAACGTCACTTTTGCATGCATGCCCGTCTGCATGGCTCGCCGAAAGTGGCAGATGACTAGAAAACTTGAAGCAGAAAGAAAGAAAACAGGGTGGACAAGTTGTAGCTAGGTCGACCAGGGTTCGAGTTCCGGATCTGGTGGATTGAAACACACGGGGTGCGAGTGCGGTGCATACTCAGGAAGACTGGAGGAGAAGGGATCGTGGCCTGGCTATCCTCCCTGGGAGGATAATTTCTCACTTCCCCTATCTCTGTGTCTCTGTCTCTCTCTCTCTGGAGAGTACACGCCCTCTATGGCAAAAAAAAAAAAAAGATTTATTTTTTTGGTAGAGATTTTTGCTACAGGGCACACATGTGCTCACCAGAGAGACAGGGACAGAGAGATAGAAAATGAGAAATCTCCCCCAAGGTGAGATGGCCATGCTGCATTCCCATCTGGCCCAGAGTGAGTTTCAAGCCTCCAGATCTGGGACTTGAACTTAAGTCAGCCATGTGGGAGTCCACCCACATAACTGTTATGCCATCTGCTGGTCCCCCAAACACTTTACAAACAAACAAAAAGAAGACTTTCTCCTAATTAGAAAATCTGAAAACCTATCTAAAGAGAATGACTCTCTTGCCTTACGATTGAACATTAATGTCCTGTTCTGTTTTTTTCACCTGAATCCGTTGAACTGTGGTACATTTCAGGAAGTACCTATTGGCTCTTCCCCTCAGTCTGAAGTTAATAGTCTTCCTTGGTGATCTTTCCAGCGTTGTCATGAAGCCCCCGTCTTGGCCACTGGGACAGGATACTCAACCTCTGCTGTCTCTCTTCTGAGGCCCTTGTCTGCGTACCAGTGTGTCTTTTTTTTCAGCTTCATGCATTGAAATCCGGAAAACCCAGGACCAGCAGGTGGTGTAATGATTACATTGCTGGACTCTCACGTGGTCGACTGTGGTTTGAATCCCGGACCCAGAGGCTTAAAACTCGTGCCAGTTGCGTGTGGGTGCCCCAAATCCTGAGAGGAGAATGGAGGAGAAGGAATTGTAAGGTGGCCTTCCGTTCCCCTCCCCGGGGTGTGTGTGTGTGTGTGTGTGTGTGTGTGTGTGATTTCTAGCTTTCTTTCTCCCTGGCAAGTGCATGTGCCCTATAGCAAAAAGCTCTCTGAAAAAAATCCCTGAAAACCTCCCTTTGAACTCTGCGCTAGTAACAGCTAACTTTCCATCCTTTATTTGATTGTTACATGACAGCAGTCCTCTTTGGTAGGTACTAACATTACCAGTGCTTTATGTGAGGAGACTTCAGATGTCTTACAGCTGAAGCATACAGAGGGTAGATCATTTCTTTCTTTTTTTTTTTGGAGAGGTTTTTGCTATAGGGTGCATGCACTTGCCAGAAAGACAGAGAGACAGAGAGACAGAAAGCGAGAAATCACCCCCCAGGGGGATGGCTACGCTGCAATCCCTTCTCCTCCATTCTCCTCTCGGGATCTTGGGCATGCACGCACATGTACCTGGCGTGAGTTTAAGCCACTGGGTCCAGGACTCGAACTGTGGTCCACTATATGGGAGTCCAGTGATGTAGCCATTATGCCATCTGCTGGTCCTGAGAGGGTAGATAATTTACCAAAGTCACACAGTAAATGGTGGAGTCAGCTTTGAAATCAGGTCTCCCTTATTCCAAAGCCAGTGTCTTAGTTACTACCTTAATTTGTCTCGTGTTACAGAGGTGGCAAGCTCAAATGCCTGCCCGTGTCAACAGGAAACAGATGGGAGATATTTGCATCTTAAACACAGGGAGTTGTCTGTTTTCCCTAGGAGTGCTCTTCTATTCTCTATCCTACTTTGCTTGAAACACACAGACCTTACAGTGTGTCTTTCATTTCCACTGTGTGTGTGTGTGTGTGTGTGTGTGTGTATGTGTGTGTAAGGGTTTTTGTGATAGGACATGCGTGCTAGCTGGAGAGAGTGACAGGGAAAGTGAGAAATTACCCCCCCCAGGGGGATGGCTATGCCACAGTCCCTTCTCATCCATTCTCTTCTTGGAATTTTGGGGACGCACATATATGCCGCAGGCGAGATTTATTTATTTATTTATTTTTTATTTTGGAGAGATTTTTGCTATAGGGCACGTGCGCTCGCCAGACAGACAGAGACAGAGAGACAGAAAG